ACACACACACACACACACACACACACACACACACACACACACACACACACACACACACCACACACACCCCTGTCCCAGCAGTAAAGAAAAATTTCTCATGAGTAATGCTTATGAGATGAAGAGAACAATTTAAAAGCAAATGGTCTGGATTTTACTTACTCGAGACATAGATTGATGATTGAAAAAGAAAAAAACATAGTTTTTGTATTTGAACATATTTGAGTATCCTATTTTTATAACATATTTCTAAAATAAATTGTAATCCTAGTACTCCCAGTAGCAAAGAGAGTATTCCCTTTGACAAAAGCTAACTAAGTGTGATTATCCTCTCTTTGGGAAAAATTCCTGGGAGCAAAAACAACTGAGTCTCACCCTGCCTTCCAACTTCTCCTTCCTACTCTGGGCAAATCAAAACTTGAGCTTAATAGTAAAGGCTTGGTCATTATATGAAGTAGTCTCATTTCCTGCATGTTGTGACATGGAGTGACAAGGAATCTAAGAACCTGTGCTGGGTTTATCTGGAAAGGAAATATCCTTTCCTTCTTCCCTTGCAATTATTAATATGGACTTTGTGTTAGAACAGTGTATCATCTCACTAAAGAAATAATTTTAGATTCAAAATTGAAAAATGTAAAGGTTTCTATTTATAAAATGGATCTTTTCTCTGAATGACAATCACTAATAAATTATTGTCATCAAGCTGTGAAACTTGTAGGTGTTGGTTTTAACTTGTATTTTTCTGGTCTTTTTTTCAGCTTGTATTGAAAATAGATGACATATTTGAATCTAAGAGAGGGAAGAAGAGAGTAAAGTTACACCCTTACACTGAAAAAGAAATAGTACCTCCTGCAAAAGGTAAGAATTGTATTTTTTTTTTTTGAGACAGAGTCTTGCTCATCGGTGGCATCATCCTAGCTCACAGCAACCTCAGACTCCTAGACTCCAGTGATCCTCCTGCCTCAGCCTCCTGAGTAGCTGGGACTACAGGCACATGACACTGCACCTGGCTACTTTTTTTTCTATTTTTAGTATTGACGGGGTCTCACTCTTGCTCAGGCTGGTCTCGAACTCCTGACCTCAAGCGATCCTCCCACCTTGGCCTCCCAGAATGCTAGAATTACAGGTGTGAGCCACCATACCCAGCCTGTGTATTTTTTTTTATTTCAAAATATTAAGGGGGTACAAATGTTTTTGTTACATGGATACCCTGTATAATGCTTAAGTCAGGGCTTTTAGTGTGCCCGTCACCAGAATAGTGTTTATTGTACCCCATAGGTAAGTTTTTATCCCTTACTCTCCTCCCACCCTCTCCACTTCTTGGTTTCCAGTGTCCTGTCTCTTTGTGCCCATGTGTGCCCATTGTTTAACTCCCAATCATTAGTAAGAACATGTGGTGTTTGTTTTTCCAAAGAATTTGTATTCTGTTCCATCCATTTGGAGCCGTCAAGGTATGAAGGGAGAATCATTATGTAACTTAATATTTGATGTGTATTATAATTTTTGGTTTACTTTCCTGTCTATCCCACTTAAGTATAAACTTCTTTAGAATAATGGACAATTTCTCAAATCCCTTTTATTTAATTCCGTGCCAAGTAATAACGATTAGATGAATAAATAAATGAAAAAATAATTATAAACCCATGAGACTAATTTTCATAGGCAGATTGAATCATTATTTTGTAGTCCTACTTTGATTTATAGTTACTTATCAGTATAGACTTTTTCAGTGGAGAAATAAAAACATTAGATATGTATGGACTGAATGTATGTGGTACTCAACTTGTAGTCATCTAATAAGTTTAATAATTTTATCCTTCAGATGCCTAGATAAAACTTATATTGTATTAATTAAGAAACTTTCAGTCGGGCGCGGTGGCTCACGCCTGTAATCCTAGCACTCTGGGAGGCCAAGGCGGGAGGATCGTTTGAGCTCAGGAGTTCGAAACCAGCCTGAGCAAGAGTGAGACACCATCTCTACTGAAAATAGAAAGAAATTGGCTGGACAACTAAAAATACATAGAAAAAACTAGCCGGGCATGGTGGCGCGTGCCTGTAGTCCCAGCTACTCGGGAGGCTGAGGCAGAAGGATCGCTTGAGCCCAGGAGTCCGAGGTTGCTGTGAGCTAGGTTGGTACCATGGCACTCTAGCCCAGGCAACAGAGCAAGACTCTGTCTCAAAAAAAAAAAGAAACTTTCAACATTCATAATGAAGTATTAGAATTTTCTTACAAATGCATGCGAGATTCTTGAGTTGGTTGTCTGACAAAGAATATGTAGAATTTAGCAATTTTATTTATAAGATTCATAACAACAGCCAAGTCATACCAAGGAGAATATTTCTTCTTTTTGCAGACTTCCAAAGATAGAAATGTCTTAATTTCCTTTAAAAATCTATTCGACATTCTAACAACTTACTATCTGAAAATAAAGTCCTCTGTGTTACAACGTAAGACTCTTTCTTCTTACTCTGTGATGATTAAAATCAACTGGTCACCATTTTTAATGTAAGTTGTCATATTTTTCAAAGGCAATTATTAAAACATATTTTAATCTCCTTTGGGGAAGAAATCGTTTTGGTTATTGTTATTAATAATAGCTACCACTTACTGAGTGTAGTAATAGTTTCTTTACATATTACATCTCATATGTAACATAATGATAATTAGGATAGGCGGGGACTATCCTAAGTTTACAAACAAAGAAGCTGAGCTAGAGGAGGAAACACAGATTTGAATCAAGGAGCATGGCTCTATAAAGTCTTAATCTTTTCTATCATCAACAGTCACTTTTTCTCATAGACTTTGATTTTTAGCAGTCTATCTCTTGTCCATGTATGTCCTTATCTACAGTAAGAGTATTGTCAAAGGTTTTTTATTTGTATAATTCAGAACTAGATACAGAAAGTGAAAATGAAGACTGGTGCCAGATACTGTGCTGGATCCTTTCCAGTGCATCATTATTAATTCCCTAAATAACCTTGTGTGGCTAATATTATTGTTGCTGTTTTATAGATAAGGAAATAGATTATAAATTGCAAATTATGTAAAATATTAAGACACCAGGGCCAGGACAAGTGCGTAAGCATTTTCCCAGATTAACAGCAGTCTTTTGGTAACTACTGTCCAGGTATTTCACTCTAAGTATGTTATTATTGATCCCTTATTTTATTTGTGTGCTTTATGCCCTCTGGACCAAGGGCATTTTAGTATATTTAGCTCTAAGATAAGTTTTTTTCCTTTTTTTTTTTTCAGTCTCCATAGAGGCTGTCAAAAATTGCCAATGCTGACTGTATTTCAAGTCATCATGGTGGAGTATTGGGAAAAGTTTTCAATTAGCAATAATTATGCCTTGGATAAACCTCATTGGCTATAATACTGCCACTGTGCAAAGCTAAGGCAACCTTTTGAAGAGCCAAATCTTTTTTATATACTATATCAATGTTGAAAAGAAAAAAATTCTTTAATAGCCTGAATTGCCAACTTCTAGCACACACACACACAAAAAAAAGGAGCGTTCCCTACATTGTAATCCTTCTCTAAAAGTTTGTTTTTCTAGGAGAAATGAGTTGTAGTGTTCTATACCACTGGAAGATGACTATACTTAACAATAATATATAGTTTCAAATAGCTAGAAGGATATGAACGTTTTCAATACAAGGAAATTATAAGTATTTAAGTGATGAATTTGCTAATTACCCTGATCTGATACTATTCATTATACATATCAGAATATCACTATGTACTCCATGAATATGTACACAGTTATTATTTATCAACTAAAATACGAGAAAAAAGTTTTTCTTTGCATGGCTCAAAGAAAACAAGCATTTGCCCAGCTTCTGTGACCACTTCCTCCAGTGCACCAGAGACGCTTCTCTCACATTTGAGGATCTCCTGGCTCCATCATCTCAGATTTTCATTTTTTCTCCATAAGCTTTTGTCTGTGTATCAACAATGCCTAATAAAACTAGATAATTATATTTACCTACTCTGTCAATACATGCTAGGGTTTACTAATGTATTCTAACCCAAACATTTCTTAACTTTCAATTTTCAGATGTTATAAAATGACTTACTGCTTTTCTTTAATTCTGTCATTATAATTTTGTGTGTTGAACTCACATATTAAAAAAAGACAACCTGGTACTTTTTTGATCCCTGCAGATTCTCAACAGATTTCCCCATTGGCTCATAATCCACTGAACCTTCATTCAGTGTCTTGGAATATAGGTCATCAAAACCCATAGATGTGAATATACTAAAGCCACTTAAATGACCTTTAATAAGATCTTTTCCAGTTATATTGTCCTTTCTCCCTTTCCTCTTTGTTTTCTTTCTTTCCAGCCACTTCATAAGCTCCTAAGAGGTGACTGGTGCTAAGGATACAAATAGGACTCAGGAGCTCACAATGTTTGTTTCTTCCTCCTGAACAATATTTTATAGCCCCACTATAATTTTTGAATGGTGGCTAATTTGGAGTTATAAAGCCTATATAGTATGCAACAAATAAATAGATATTTCTTTTGTAACATCTCTTATGTATCTTTCCCATCTATCTTATAAAGAGGCACCATTTCTTTTAATGTTCTCTTATTCCTTATTATAAAATGAAAAGCCAGAATTTACCAAACCTCCTTCCACCACCCCTAAAAATTTTATGCATATGCAAATACATATTCTACACAAATAGTGTTATACTATTCAGATTTTGTATACCTTCCTTTTTAAAAAAGCTTAATTAATGTATTTCAGAGCTCTTTCAGTATCAACACATAGAGATCTACAAAGCTGAATTGTATTTCATTGGATAGATGTAAAATAATTTTATTAAGTTGGTAGTCATTTTGGTTGTTTGTACCATTTTATTTAACCTGTGGATATTTAAGGGGAATATGTGTTTGTGTGTGTGTGTACATATATATCTTTAAACAATGCTACAATATGCATCCTTTTACTTATATTTCTGCATATTTGCAAGAATATATCTGTAGAATAAGTTTCTAGCAGTGGATGGACTTAACTTGATTAAAGAACATATCGATTTAAAATTTTTATAGCTGTGGCCAAATTGTCTCACAAAGAGATTGTAACAGCTTATGTTTCTACAAACAGCATTTGAAATGCCTCTGTCCCCATAATCTTCACCAATATTATGTTTTATTAAAGCTTTTTTTTTTTTTGCCAATATCATGGTTGAAAATTTATGTCTTGTTTGAATTTACATTTCTTTCATTTTGAACTTGGGCAATTTTCATGCTTATCAATAATTTATAAATCTTTTTCTATGAATTGCCTGTTCCTACCCTTCATTCCTTTTTCTGTTGTGCTGTATTTTTCTTCTTGATTTGTAACAGTTATTTGAATATTAAGAAACTTAGCCTTGTATCCGCAATGTGTTTACAAATATTTTCCCAGTTTATTGTTCACTTTTGAGTTTACTAACGATTTTTTATTAGATATAATGTTATATAATCAACCTTACATATATTTTCATTTATGACTTCTAGGCTTTGTTTTTCCTGATACATTTAAAGATTTTTCCTTTCTTTGTACTTTTCTTATTTTGTTTTAATTTTTCAGACAATCTAGAAGTTTTTCACTTATTCAGGAAGCTTTTTTTTTCTTTTATAAATTGTGTGCCCAAAACTGTCGTCCAAAACACTCCTTATGAAAACAATATAGCCCCCTTATCCTCAAGATACTTAAAATGTGATTGGGGAAAATAAGAACAATTCCAAACAGTATGAGTGCTATATGAATTCAGAGTAAAAGAAAGATCAGTATGGGTTTAGAGGTAGCTTAGAGGCATTATAGACAAGGTAGACTTAATTACTTGGCAATTTCTCCTAGCTCCCAGATTTTCCTATTATTCTAAACTCATAATCTGGCTGGTGTTCAGATTTTTATTTAGCCTGCTTAGTGCTCTACCTTTGATACTTTATTTGGGAATATAAATGCAGACAAGGATGTGGATGTAGAAATAGAATCCACTCTGAATCAGACTTTTTAAAACTAGTCTGAAATTTTTTTAACTCTAGAATCAGGAATGGAAGAGCAGCTGAGGAGTGAGGTAAGGATTAGGAAGAAGATGTAATAGAGTACTTTCTTTGTTGAGCCTTTTATTCTCTTTCAGTAATTGTCCTAACCTGATATAACTAACTGGTTTGGAGAAAGGCTCAGCGTCTTCATTATTCCTTACTCTAAGTACCCAGGTCTGTGGAGGTTTTACGTTGTTCTCATGCTCATATACTTCCTACTGTTGAACAATACAAATGGAAACTCTTTCTGTCTTTTCAGGTGAAACCAGTGGGAACGAAAGTGATGCTGAGTATCTGCCAAAGAGTGAGTGAGTCACTGGGGCTGCTCCCGTTCTTGTGATGATCATGGTTATAGGCGGAGTGGCACCTACCTTTGTCATTAAGCATGTTTTTCCCCACATGATGTTTAATTTTGTAGGTGATTTCTTTATTTTCAGAACCTGAGAGATTTGGGCAACTAAAAAGTACACTCTCAGATCTTCGACAGCATTAAAAATCTCCCATAGCAGAGTGAGACAAACCAATATGGTTCGTAGAATGGAATGTTCTTAGGGGAGCAGTGCAGAGCTACGTGTCCAGACATATATGCAGTAGTTTCCCAGAAGCCAGAATAGAGTGTGTGACTCATCCTCTGAGACAAATACTTAGCATCACATGTCTGATTTTTCACCATCACTCTAGTGTAATTATTTAAGTAACTTTGATATCTCTGATATTGAAAAAGGAAACATTTATCTGTTTCTCCTTCATGGGCATTTATATTCCAAATTGTGCTGTTTACTTTCTACTAGAATATATTACAGAATGCACTATGCATTTCTGGCTATATTTGTCCAAGCACTTCATGGTGCCCTGTGTCCTTTATCTAATGAATTGTCACAGCAAGTTATCTAGTTCCTGTTTAACTGACTGACATACTAAGTCATGGAAAAAAATAGGAGACATGAATTTTCAAAGCTGAGTACAGGGCAATTCCAGGTCCAATACTCTAATCTTATGACTAATAGTCTTGTGCTCCCTCCACTGGCCTGAATTGCTTCAAGTCAGGTGTGTGATTCTGTAGCCTCACTGAAGGTGAAACTTAAATCATCATCAGGTTCAGCCTCGATATGTAAAGATGACTAATTTAGTGCTGTTGCTACTGAGACACAGGACCTAAACTTTTTTTGGCTTGAGCTCAGCCCTTTGAGTAAGTAAAGCTTTGTCTAGAGCACTAAATGTAATTCTGGGGAGCCACTCTTAACATGTATTTTTTTAGGTGCTCTTAATGTTTCGATCAATAGTGTACCCACTTTGGGGCCAGAATGCTTCATATCTCACAAAGAAAAGAAAAATAATCAGAGGATGAATCATTCTATTCAGTGGCTCAGAATGACACATAAACAAATTTCTGGGACACTTAGACTCTTTTTTTCTGCAAGTACACCATTTCCCCTAGTGGAGACTCCCTGCAAATTTTCAGAATTTAGAGATAAATGAGAATAGAGGATAGATGCTATCCAGTCTTGAGTAGTATTGTTATGACTGTTTAAATAGTATGCTTCCATAATTTTATTCTTTTGAAGAATAGTCTGCGAATAGATGTCTTCTTCCACTTCATTTTTTTTCCTCATGCATTAGTACTATTTATTGGTATAAGCATACATTCATATTAGTAATTTATATCAAGGAGAGAAGGGGAAAGGACGGTTTCTTTAATGTGAGGATAATTTTTGTTTTAATTTTTCAAATTCATCCCTTTCTGTACTTACTCTCTGTAGGATGCAATTCTTTTATCAGATCTTCCCCACCCCACCCCTTGATTTCATGGCATTCCAGACAGTGGCATCTACTGTCTGTGAATCAGTGCTTTTTCCTGACATTTTCCATGGGTCCTGGTGCAATGCCATGAAAGATGTGTTGGGACATACATAGAGTATTGGTTAGGACATGAAATGTTAGTCTCACTGCTGCCCAGAGGTAGAGTGGGGCCCCTGGGCACTTGTGACAGTCTGTACTTATCCTCCAGCTATGTCATAGCCCTAACAGGTATGTCTGCGTGGCAGATATTGGTTAGTCAATATTCATTCAGCAATGACTGTGTGAAGATTAGTCCTATATGGGTCATGACCTCTAGATGCTAGAGGAAAGATATGGCTACAGAGAGAAAACATAGCTCCGTGATTTCATTCCAGATCGCCACAAGCGCTTAGCACAAGTGCAGCAGTCTTCCAAGAGGAATCCTCACTACCAGACCTTGGAGCGGGATCTTATTGAATTACAGGAGCAGCAGCTGTTTGAACTCTTTGTGGTGGTATCTCTACAGAAGAAACCATCAGGAATAAACTATATTCCCCAAATCATACAACAATTCCCTAGCAAGGTAAGTATAAGGAGGCCAAGAGGGATTCAGGAATGTTCCTGTGTCTCTGTATTGATTTCCTATCTTTCTGTTTATTGTTATCTCAACCAGCTTTTACCAATACTATACTTGTGATAGGATCTGGTAAGTGACTTTAATGACATCTTATGTTAGGCATGAGCTACAACCAAGGGAAAAAACAAAACCAGGTCATTCTCCAAGTCAGTTTTTTATTTTGGGCTCTGCCATTTAATAATCTTTGACAAGTTACAGAGCCATAACTTTCTCATCTTTGATGAGGGGAGTAATAAATGTGGCAGACCAGACATGGTGGCTCATGCCTGTAATCCCAGCACATTTAGAGGCCGAGATGGGAGGATCACTTGAGGACAGGAGTTTGAGACCAGCCTGGGCAACATAGCAAGACCTCTGTCTCTCCAAAAAATAATAAATAAATAAAATTAGCCAGGCATTGTGGCACATGCCTGTAGTCCTAGTTACTTTGGAGGCTGAGACAGGAGGCACACCGGAGCCCGGGAGTTCAAGGCTGCAGTGAGCTATGATCACACCACTGCACTCCAGCCTGAGTGATGAAGCAAGACCCTGTCTCAAAAGAAAAAAGAAAGAAGGAAAGAAAGAAAGAAATGTATTAATTCTGGGTTCAGGACTAGGTCTAAAAAAATAAAAATAAATGTGGCAGAATAGGGTGATAGTGGTTTAGAGCATAGACTCTGAGCCAGTATGCTGCATTTGCTACTTACTAGCTCTGTGACTTTGAGCAGTTACTTAATCTCTTTGTGCCTCAATTTTTTCATTTGTAAAATGGGGGTAATCACAATAGTATCTACTCCTTTGAGTTGTAGCAAGGATTAAATGAGCTAATTTGTATAAAGCACTTAGAACAGTATCTGGCATATATAGTAAGCACTATATAATGTTACCCATAATTAGTAATAATTTAATAAGATTATGTAAATTACTGAATGCAGTTTCTGGCATAGTATGCACTTGATAAATGGTAGCTGTTATTATTAAAAATATTATTTGGTTCTACCTTTTTAAAAAATCATTCATTCATTCATTTAATCAAATATTTTAAAAATACCTACTGTTTTCCAGGATTAGATGATGCGAGTACAACTGAAAAAGATCTTCTTAGTCCCTGTTCTCATAAAGCTTATTGAGCCTATGAGCAAACTGAGCCCACAGGCATTTGTTTGGGGTTTTTTTTGCATTGCATTCATGTTTTTATAAAAGTAACAACAATAACTTTTGTTGCCAACTTTTAAAAATCAAATTTCACTTACAAATCTGTATAGCTGCCTTTTCCTGAGAAACTGGAAAGACTGCCAACACTTAGCCTACATTCCTAAGGGTCAGGAATTGGCTGAAGCTGAGTAAGGAACAGGACTTCTTGGCAAGTGACCAGTGCAGTTGCACATGGCCTCCTCCCTCCCCTGCTCAGAGGGACCCTATGCTTAGGGTTTAATGCTTTGCAGTCACCATCTTGAAAATGCTTAATAATTTTATCTTTGAATTTGTGTTTTGTAAGAGAAGTCTGATGGGAAAATTGGATGTGTGCCAAGGTCTTAAAGCCACAGTTCACGCATTGAATCATCTCCTGCCACCTACCTAGGATGGATTCTCTAGTTGTCCTGTTCCCTATGGCCTGGTTCCCAGGCCCTATCTGGCTTCCTTCATACTCTCACTCAGTGACTGCTGCCATCTTCTGTCCCTTGCTGGGGCTTGGACACAGGCTGGGGAGGGTTGGACCAGGCAGGCATTGTCCTGCAACATATGGGAGCAGCCCACCCTGCCCTGGGCTAGTAGTACCACTCGTGTCCAGTGGGTGACTTGGTAGGGACAAACCTTTCTACCACCCCCAATCCCAGTACCCCTCTGTGTGGAGGCTGCAAATCCTTGGGGGCTACCCAACTGCTATGGGTTGGAATGTTGTGTTAGCAGCATAGGAAGGGAAATTGATGCCTGGCTCAATTTCCTTACCCCGAGTCAGGGCAGAGTCTCAGTCCTGCAGCTGCCTGGAGAGGAAACCCAGCAGCTGGTGGGCTACTTGTGTACCAGATTGCAGGCCGGGGCCCCTAAGCACTTGTGAGGGTTCGTTTTCATCCCCTAGGATCCTCATGCCTGAGGGAATGTGACATTAAATAACAAAAACTCCATTGCAGGTTGGGAGACCATAGAAAAAAGGAAAGTTTTGTATTTTATTTTATATTTAATTTTTCTTGCTTTTTGAACAAGGGGCCCCACATTTTCATTTTGTACTGTGCCCTGTAAATTTTGTACCTTGTTCTAGTAAGGAGCGATACCCATTATAGGGACATTCACTTACTCACTTTCAAACTTATTACTTGGGCCACTTCTCTAATTTAAATTGTTTGCTCTGTCATTTTAGGATTTGGGGTTTATAACCCGGAGGTATATGTTTCACTAAAAAAGCTAATAAAGCACAATTGTACTAGAATCTAAGAGTCACTGCATGGATTCTCATTTTTAAAAAAGTCCTCCATGACATCCCTACAGTAAATAAATCAATAAGTTTAATTTCTCATAAAATTCCTCAGTGTAGCCTGAGAGCACAACATCACAGCACTGTTTAGTAAAACAGTACTATTAATATTATAGTCTAAAATAATGTAATCTAAATAGTCATGAGTAATCAAATTTCTCAAGAGGAGCTGAATATTTTCCTGGTTTTGATCAGTCTTACAATTGTAGAGGAACATCTAAGCCTGAATTAATGGGCTCAACCAGATAAGGACCCAGTTGACTCTGGCAGTGACTCAGAGATGTCTATAAGTAAAAAAGCATCTTTGTGCCTCAAGCACAAAATTAGGGAGGAAAAGAGCTGATTGAGCCCCTTTTTGATTCTGTTGTAGAAACCTTGAATGAAGATGATTGTGCATCACTTAACAATACAAAAATAATAGACTATACTACAACTAAAAATTTGTTAGAATGCTTTTCCATTTTTTAAGAGGTTAATATCCAAGTGACCCAGAATGGCTGTATTTTTTTTTTTTTTAAGAAATTAAAGGAGGCGGGGCATAGTGGTCCATACCTAAAGTCCTAGCTACTCTAGAGTCTGAGGTAGGAGGATCACTTGTGTCTAGAAGTTCAAAGCCAGCCTGGGCAACATAACAACACTCCTTCTCAAAAAAAAGAAAAAGGAGAGAAAAGCAAAGAAAAAACGAAATTAAAAGATAAGTCATTTTTATTAGTTGTCTGAAATCAATATGGTAATTAGGCTTACGTGCTTGTTTTTATAGACAAGTCGTACTAATTTCTAAATGTCTGGTTTCATTAAATTTAGACTTTTTTTTTTTTTTTTTGAGACAAAGTCTCCTCTTATGCCCTGAGTAGAGTGCCGTGGTGTCAGCCTAGCTCGCAGCAACCTCAAACTCCTGGGCTCAAGCGATCCTCCTGCCTCAGACTCCCGAGTAGCTGGGACTACAGGCATGCGCCACCATGCCCGGCTAATTTTTTCTATATATTTTTAGTTGTCCATCTAATTTCTTTCTATTTTTAGTAGAGACGGGGTCTCACTCTTGCTCAGTTTGGTCTCCAACTCCTGAGCTCAAACAATCCGCCCGCCTCGGCCTCCCAGAGTGCTAACATTGCAGGCGTGAGCCACCGCGCCTGGCCTAGACTGTTTTTTAAAGTATAATACCAGATTTATGAAAGAGGATCTTCCATGCCAAAATTTTATAGGAAGTTGCAAACCAGTAATTAGGTAGCAAAAATTATATGCTTAGGGAAATGATTATATATAAGATAGATTCTAAAAATAGTATCTTTTCTAAATAACATTCATCTGCCATTTTAAAGCATCTTTGACTATTGATCAGAGAGGATCTTGAGCTGACTAGGTTTTTGCTCTCAGCATATTGTAGAATGGAGTTTTATTTATCTTATATCCCATGATACAAAATCATGCTGAGACAACTGCTCAGGCTTATCAGAGACTTCTTTTCCTGAGACCAAGCTGAGTTTTTTATTTCTATTCTCCACTTACATAGAATAATAGTCACGTATGGTATTATCTTTTTCAGGGTGATCATGGCTATAAACAATCCAAAGACACTGAAGAGAGGCTCAAAGTTATCCCAAAATTTTGTTTTCCTGACTCAAAGGACTGGGTGCCAACCTCAGAACTCAAGAGGTAAATGGGGTACTTTATCTAATTTCTACTTATTAGAACTGCAAAAGTAAAATCAGAGTTTTTGAGAAATGGCTAGAGCCGGGAGTGAAGCTGCATGAACACTGGCAGGTCAAGGATGCAGTGGGAGGAAAGGAAAAAGCGGAATTAGAACATTTCCTATGTGGGGCTTGGAAAAAAAAAAACAAAACACGGAATAATTTCAGTGTCGAAGGGAAAACAACTTTGAGAGTCTCTTTGGTTTGCCAATTCTGCAGAAAAAATAGTTCCACTTTACATAAAATTAGAAATGCCCCCAAGTGGACAGAAAAGGAAAAAGGACTTGGATTTTGGGACGCAATCTAGAAACAGGGATAAAACAAGCAATGTGTTCATCTTGTTTCTTTTTCAAGTTGATAGAAGAAGCCGCAGCCCAGATTATATGTTCTCCTGTGGAACTTGTACAAAGAGAGACTCCAGTTTAGGAACTGTGCGTGTAGTGAGAAGGGAATTATTAAAGAATTTCTGCCAGGTGTCTAGAGGAAATTACTGTTTTTAATTAATAAACCATTATACACCTGAATCCTGCTTGTAAATCAATAACTACTTTGTTCAACACTGTAATTATTGGTGATGCTGTTTAGGTTGAAAAGCTTGATTTAGTTGAACCGTATCACAGGCCAATGACCTGCTGGATGACAGCCTCAGCTGTTGCTTAAGTAGCTCTGTGTGACTTCAAAGGGAAGTTGAAGGGGGAAAAAATAGCTCTGCACTTCCACCTCACATTGCCACCAGGCTAAGCTGCCATCTCTCGTAACCAGTTTAGCCTGATCAACACTCTCATCTCTCAGCCATCAGCGTCGATGCTCTTATGTTGTTACTTGTACTGCGAACCACGTAGGCAGCTTCTTTCGTATTGGCTTGGCTGCTCCATGGTTGGCTTTTCACCCCAAGTTATGTATGTTTATTCTAGAATATTTGGAAAATATAGAGGAGTAAATAAAAAGCAGAAATTAGAACTCATTGGCAATCCGGTTACTCAGAGATAGTCACTGTAAATATTTTAACATATTCCCTCCCAAGCCATATTTTTGGCCATATATAGACATATTTATTATTCAAATTTGGATTTCTTTGATTATTAATGAGTTTCTTTCTTGGGCATCTTTAGGTCTTCTTTTTGTAAATTATCTATGCATATGTTTTGCCCATGTTGATGTTTTTCCTATTGATTTTTATGTATTGATGATATAATCCTTCGCCTAGCACTGTTCCATATGGCTTCTCAGAACTAAATAGAAGAATTTGGGAATTTGGAATGGGGAAATGGCATATCAAAATCTTTTATAGCTTACCTAGATGTTTGACAATGTTGGGCATTCAGCAAAAGGGAAATGGGCTTGATTAATAGCTAGAGTGTATAAATAAGAAAGTAAAAGGAGGCAACAGCGTCAATAGCGTATCGAATATCTTATTCTCTCACTCTAGCACAAGGCAAGATATTCTTAAGGCCTGCACATTTCTTAGGAGGGATGTGACTTGCAATAAATGTAATTTTATTACCTCCTCTTAGATCATAAAATGACTGCTGTTGGACCCTAGTTTTCAATTGTTTGTTCCATGAGGAATGCTATAAGCAGTTGTTTGGATCTCAGAATAACTATTGGCTATTTTTACAGTGAAACATTCTCCTTTGTCTTGACTGGTGAAGATGGAAGCCGGTGGTTTGGTTACTGTAAGAAGCTCTTGGTAAGTACCACACCTGTGTGTGCTACAGACAGGGTTGCTCAAGGAACAATAGAGTCAGACTAGCGACTTCACAAATAATCTCTCTGGATGAGTTTTAGGGTTACTCAATGATCTGTGTGTTAAAGAAGCTTTGTTAGCTTTAAACAGCAAGAGCAACATGGGGGTTAGCCACAGAGTGTTCCAAACCATGGAGTGTTCCAAAATAGAAGGGGTATGGATTTATTTTATTTATTTGTTTGTTTATAATAGAGGAAATACCACTGACATACTGGCTAAATATCAGTCTGGGTATATTTGAGGAATGGAGTACAATGAGCCAGTCAAAGGAGCTCTGAATTACTTACCAACCATACTAGGGCTTTCTTCTTACTTAGAATACCTTCACTAAATCTAGAATAAATCATGCTATCATTTTTAGCACTTTTCCCGTCTTTCAGTGTTCATTGGGGGTGAGAGCCCTGGTTCCCACTCTATACTGAAGAGTATTAAAAGAGTATTAATAGTCCAAATTAGTAAAAACTTGTGCTGGTTAGTTGTTTTGTTGTTTTGTTTTGTTTTTTCTTTTAGCCAGAAGGCAAAGGAAAGCGACTCCCTGAGGTATACTGCATGGTTAGTCGCCTAGGCTGCTTCAATCTTTTTTCAAAGGTGAGTGGAGAAGGGGCTCTATGGAAAGTGGTACTCTTTCTGAATTCTCAATGTTAAGTGTCATAGACTTTAACATCTTACTTTAGAAAGGTTCCCTATTAGTAAATTAGGAATCACAAAGCTTGAAGGCTTAAATTAAGATCCCTAACCCAGCTGCTGGTGTTATATCATCCTCATTGTGGTTAGCTGAAACTCCAGCTTAAGGGAGAACATAATCTAAAGCTCATCTTGTCTCATGTCTCTCCTAGATGCCAAATTGCAGGATATCATCCTCAGTGTCACCTTCTTTGCCCCTCTCTTAGTAAAATGAAACGGGGCTCCTTGTCTAAAAATAAGTTGATTTATGTTAGTAACTTTTTTTGGAGGGTATAAAGATACCCCCTAAGAGATATGATGCTTATGGAACTCTTATTGGCTGCAGAAGCTTACGTGTCTTAAATTCTATGGGTGTTATTTTCAAGTTTGTACACCAAGTTTGACGGTTCCTACAATAGGATTCTTTTATGTATTTTAACTGAGTCCATAATAAAATAACATTTTGTGTGTATAGATTCTGGATGAAGTAGAGAAGAGAAGAGAAATGTCTCCAGCTCTTGTTTACCCATTCATGCAAAGTGTCATGGAAGCTCCCTTCCCAGCTCCTGGACGCACCATCACGGTTAAGAGCTACCTTCCTGGGGCTGGAGATGGGGTAAGTTAGTTTGTTTTGGAAAGGTTTGATAGCCAGAAAAAAGCAGGCCTTATACTAACAGGCAGAGTTTCCAGAAGCCCAAGGGCATAGTTTTCTCTTTTTCATAACCTGTGAAGAATATGTTTTAGCCTCATAAAGCACTGGAGAAATATCCAGTTGATCTGTGACATAGTTGTTCTTAGACCCGGGACCCAGAGATTTTCTACCATACGTAGATTGAACCTTTTCGTAATGACAATTTCGTAATGATAAATGAAGATTATACATACTGTTACCAGATGGAATAAAGGATTTTATCAGCAGTTTACAGCACAAAGTAAACTGTGGGCTTTGGGATCAGCACAACCTGGAACTCCTGGACTCAAGCACCACATCCGGCTAATTGGCTATTCACAAACTGTGGAGCAAACCCTCTTTCTTGCACTTAACTTGTATAAGAATGGAAGGATCCATAGTGTTATCATTAGGGATTGTTTTCCAGCATCAGCTTCCCTGATTCAAATTCTTGCATTTCAGTCAATTGAACTCTGCCGACCACTAGATTCCCGATTGGAACATGTTGATTTTGAATGTCTCTTTAAGTGCCTGAGTGTGTGTCACCTCATCCGAGTCTGTGCCTCTCTCCTCTTGGAGCGGAGGGTAATCTTTGTTGCCAACAGCCTAAGGTAAGAAATAAATGAAATATGTCACTTCATACTGGTGTTTTACTTGTTCTTACTATTTTAAAATTTGGGCATATTAAAAAAATGTAGGATCAGTGTCTCATTTAACTAAAGGTATAATGACATGGATAATTCCAAATAATCAAAAAGCCATTTGATTAGGCTATACCAGTGACTTTTTGAGTTGTAATAAATTAACCTTTAAATACACTTTAAACTGCTGTTAAAAATTGGTAATGCTTTTCTAAGTACACGCTAATTTTTAGCATGATAAATTATGGGGAAGAGCTGGATTGAGATTAAACGTTGTCAATAAATTAAGTTTAAATTTTAACTAAAATGTTAAAAATTAATGAGTATTCACAGAGTTGTTAATCTACGATCACTAACCAGCATCAGTTTTATAATTCTTTAACATAGTATCTGAAGTGCCCTCTACATTGCTGCTCTATTTGTGACATTATTTGCTTTTTCCTCTGGCTAGTACTCTGTCAAAATGTGGCCATGCCGTGGTAGCCACACTGTATCCATTCACCTGGCAGCATACCTACATCCCGGTCTTGCCAGCATCTATGATCGACATTGTGTGCTCACCTACCCCGTTCCTTATTGGAATCCTATCTTGCTCCTTACCACAGCTCCAGGACCTACCTATTGAAGAGGTGAGATGGAAGAAATAGTACGTATGGAAAATAGTGCAACCTTGACAAATGAAAAT